GGGGATCCTTGTAACCATGGCAATGAGATGATATACGATAGAATGAATGTAAAACTAATGTTCTCCCATGTAAACTATCACATAATTCACAATAATAATAAAAAAAAGATTTACAGCCTCAGAAACCCTGTACAGGGTCGCTATGGGTCGGAACTGAATCCACGGCACATAACAACAACAATAATAATATAATACTCCATCATATTTGGGGAGTCTGGGAGAAAGGGAAGACCCTCAATGAGATGAGGGTCCACAGCATGGACTCAAACACAGCGGCGATTGTGAGAATGACGCAGAACCAGACAGCATTTTCTTCTGTTGTGTGTAGGTTTGGTATGAGTCACAACTGGCTCTACAGCACCTAACAACAGTGGCAACAATACTGCGTTGCATGGAAAAACCACGTTTTGGTTTTCCATTCATCCAGTCGACGGACATCTGAATTGTTTCCAGTGATAATGTTCTTCATCTTAGTTTGGGTGGGTGTTCATTGAGCATTGGTCAAACAACAGTTTACTTAAGGTTAAGGCACCCTGTAGGGTAAGCACTGAATGGCTAACCAGGAGGTCAGCAGTTCAAACCCACCAGCTGCTCTGAAGGAGAAAGATGAGGCTTTCAGCTCTGGTAAAGATTTACAGCCTTGGAAACTCTATACAGGGTTGTTATGTGTTGGAATCAACTTTATGACAGTGGATGTTGTTTTTTTTTTGTTGTTGTTGTTTTTTAAATGGGTCCCTGATGTCACAAGTGGTTTGCATTTGACTACTGCCCTGAAGACAGACTGTTGCATAAACCCACCCAGTGGCACTGCAGAAGAAAGGTCTGGCAATGTGCTTGAATAAAGATCACAAGCTGAGAATCCCTGTGGAGAACTTATACTGAGTCACATGAGGTTGTCACGAGTTGGAATGACTCGACAGCTTTTTCGGCCACTAGGTTACACACTCTTGCTTTCTGTATCTGCTGTGTGCTTTGCACATTTTATGCCCACATGTTCATCCTGGTCTCAAACGCCCCAACAATCAAAGCTACGTCCAGAGCGGTGCAGGACTCACGGTGAGAAAGTAACCCTGTCTGTTATAGGAACTAGAAGGGAGCCTAGTTTTGAGTAGAGGCTGGACCACAGGGCTCCTGGTGGTGTCCAAGGCGAATAGAGGGACCTGCCCTTTTCCTGGGGTCAGTGGGAGCCTTTGAAGGTAGACAGAAGTCTGACCCTGTGGATGTCCTTGTGTTGTGACTTGCTTGGAATCTGGCGTCCGGTCTGTAAGTGGACAGTCAGCAGCAGTCAGGAGGACCTTGGCTCACATCTGTTCCCCACTAGGTCTCCATTCCCCATCCCCCCAGCTAAGCTGGTTGTTTCTGTTCTAACGCCTAGCTGGGGCCCTGACCTATTTCTGCTTTTCTTCACCTGCTCTGGAGTAGGAAGTTGCCAGGCCTCTGGCTTTGGGGAGTCATGACGGGTGCAGGGCAGGGCCTGCTGGGGGCCCCTATCACGCTTCCCATCTGCCATTTGTTATGAATCAACTGCAGAGAAAACCGCACATTTGTGCTGGGCTCGCCTGGGCCTGTCAACGCTGAGCCCTGCTGTGGGGGAGGCGAGACTGCAGCAGCTAATTGCTGTGTGACCCTGGGTGCCTTGCTCACCCTCTCGGAGTCCCCTTGGTGCAATCGGCGAGGGGTCCATTGTTGGGTGCTGTCGAGCCCAGTTAGAGTTTAGACTCTGGGCCTGATGGGTAAGAGACAGAATCCCAGCTCTAGCCCTAGTGCGTGGTCCCTACAAGTCACCTTCATAGTTCTGTACCTCAGTTTTCCCATCTGTAAAATGGGTTTAATGATAGTAACTGGAGAGGTTAAAGAGCGCTGCTGGCACCAAAGGTCTAACGCAAAGGGTGGTGGTTCAAATCCACCCAGCGTCTCCCAGGAAGAAAGACCTGGAATAAAGATGACACCCCATAAAGATGACAGCCTAGGAAACCCTACGGGGGCAGTTCAACTCTCTCACACGGGGGTGGGGGAGCACTGGTGTGTTGCTGTGATGCCGGAAACTATTACACCAGGCTTTCAAATACCAGCAGGATCACTCATGGTGGACAAGTTTTAGTGAGCGTCCAGACTAAGAGAGACTAGGAAGAAAGGCCTGGCTATCAATGTCTGAAATCAGCCAATAAAAATCCTCTGGATCACAGGATAGTGTCCAATGCAGCACTGGAAGCTCAGCCCCCCTGGGGTAGATGGCTCTCAAAATACACAGTGGCCGTAGCCATGTAATTGAGTAGACTGAGGGGCATGAAGATGGCACGAGACGGGGCAACATTTCATTCTGTGGTGCGTGGGAGCTCCATGAGTCGGAACCCACTCATCAATGACCTTCTTTCCTATGGTTCTGTGTGGGCTGAATGTTTCTAATTGTTTTAATACTCACTGCTAACCAGTTGCTGGAGTTAAATCCAAGTCAGGAAGACCGCATGTGTTTCTGAAGAGGTGTGCTGTCTGTAGTGTTTTCATGCTGTAATGTTCCAGAAACAAATCGTCATTACTTTCTTTCGATATGCCTCTGGGTGGGTTTGAACTTCCAGCCTCTGGGTTAGTAGTCCAGGGTTTAACCGTTTATGCTGTTCATGGGATCCAAACGCAACAGCGTGATGATGATTGTAATTGGGCGAGAGAAGAGGGTGGGGTTCCGGGGCCAGCGGGGAGGTTTCAGAGTGTCCAGCCCTGCTCCAGAATGAGGAAGAAAAGCCCCACGACCCCCACCGGAACCCAGACTGTGGCTGGGGATTTTTCTGGCCGCTGCCCGCCCTCCCCAGGAGCACCCATCTCGCTCTGGGACGCCTTTTGCCTGGCAACCTGTCTGGCTGGGTCCAGGCAGGTCTGTCGATGGGCGGGGAGCCCTGAGCCTCCCCACCTCGCCCGCTCCTCCTCCAGCCCCCGCCCTGTTCCCAGCACTCACCAAGTCAGGATCCCCGGTCACCTGAGCTAGGGGATCCTGAGGGGGACCCTCAAGAAGAAGGTAATCTCAGTGGCCGGCTGCCTGGAGGCTTCCCCGGAGCCGGCCAGCGTGGGGCGCCCACCCCAGCAGGGGCCGGGGGGCCATGCCGCCTGGCGCCCTCTGAGGCCCACACCATGGCCCGGGCGCTGACCTGGCGCTGCTGCCCCTGGTGTCTGACGGAGGACGAGAAGACAGCCGCCCGGATCGACCAGGAGATCAACAAGATTCTTCTAGAACAGAAGAAACGGGATCGTGGGGAGCTAAAGTTGCTACTGCTAGGTGAGTCCCGGGGGCGAGAGGGGGGCCAGCCGGCCACGCCACGGAGGGGCCAAGGAGGGACTCGCTTTCAGCAAATGTGGCTCCTGCCGGAAGACGTGGAGAACCCACACTACTGATGGGAAAACTGAGGCTCAGAGAAGCCATCTTTTCCATCCAAGGTGAGACTGGAACCATCTTCGGTCCACTCTGAGGGGCATCTGCGAGGGCAGAGGTGGTGCAGCCTGGGGCCCGGTGGCAGCCGGGGCTCCTGCCAGGCAGGCCCAGCCCGCCCTGCCAGCTTCTATGTCACGGGTGGTAACCATGAGCTCAGGTGTGCAACCCGCCCTGGCCAAGGAGTCGCATGGGCTGGGCCTTCTGCCTCTCTCTTCTCAGCAGCTGGCTGCCCTGTCTTCTGTTGACTGGCAGCTTCCTCAGCTGGAGCCCTTCTGAGGTCAAGGGGCTGGGATTGATGGACTCATTCATGCTGTAGCTCTGGTGGCACAGAGAGTTGACGGGCTGCTAACCACAAGTTTGGTGGTTCAAGTCCACCAACCACTCCATGGGAGAGAGATGGTGTACAGTCTTGGAAGCCCCAGGGGGCAGTTCTGTTCGGTCCCACAGGGAGGCTGTGAGTTGAAATCGACGCCACCGTAGTGGGTTTGCTTTTTTTGAACTGTTTAAGAAAGAACCTGGGTGACATAGCAGTTAAGTTTTCGGTTGATAACTAAAGGTTCAGGAGTTCGAACCCACCAGTGGCTCCTTGGTAGAAAGACCCCGAGATTTGCTTTTGTAAAGACGACAGCCTTAACACACCCAGAGGAAGAGTTCTACTTTGTCACATGGAGTCACTATGCGGTGGAATCGACTCGATGGCACACAACCAAGATACACGGATTGCTGCCTTCTGGGGTCTCATCTTCCAATATGGGAGACAGGCATTAAGCAGTCGTGAATTTCACATGAGATAACTTCAGGCAGTGAGAAGAGGTAGAAGGAATAGAAAGCCGGCCAAGGGAGTAAGCTTGGAGTGAATGTCGTATGGATTGTAAGACCTCAAGTTTCTAAATCTTGTTGCCCACATATCTCCACTCACCCCACCCCCTTCCTCAACTCATGAACAGCCTAACCCCAGAAACTGTAGCCTTGGAGGGTCTTTCTGGGTCTCCTAGAACCATGGGCCTCCTGGGATGGGGGCTAGAGAGGATCCCAGACTCCCTAAGGTTGTTGGCATTGCACCAGCCTGCTCTGGGGCAAAGTGGCAGGTAACCATGGGTGGCTGCCGTCTTTCTCCCCTTGCTCAGTGGAAGGAGGTGGCCCAAGGAATGGAGAGAGGTGAAGAGATTAGGCAGTAGGAATCTAAGGGTGCACCTTAATTCACAGTCCTGCCAACTGTAGCCTTGGTCCCTCTTGCTGAGCTAGGGAAAATATTTCTTCTAGGTCGATTTGGTATGACATAAAACATATGCTTTGGCCCACCCTGACTTATTTAATATCTGCTCTTATTCTTTTCTCCCATAATTCCCTTGGCTGCAGCCATCTGGCTTCTTTGCTTTTCATTGAATGTATCATTTTCCCACTGGAAATGTTTGGTGGAATCACCCATGCAATTGTCAGAGCCTGGAAAGTTTAAAGGACAGATCAGTTTCTCTAGGAGCTATTTCTGTAATCGGTATAGGGCAATTGGGGTTGTCTAGCTCTTTTTGAATGAGCTTTGGTCCTTTCTGCCTTTCAAAGGATTTGTCCATTTCTTCTAAGTTGTCAACTGTATTGGCATAAAGTTGTTTGTAATCTTTCTTTCATAATCCTTTTTAATGTCTGTCTCTGTACAGATATCCCTTCCTCGTCCATTCCTGAGATTGGTCCTTTGTGTCTTTGCGCCTTTTTTCTGGATTCTTCAGGCTAGGTATTTACCCAAACTGAGAACATTATTTCACTTTCTTTGAACATCTCAAGTTCACTTATTCCCGCCCCAGGACTTTTGCATTTGCTGTTTCCCCTTCCAAGACCGCTCAGCATCACCCAAACCTCCATATGGTGGTCTCCCTCACTCTGTTAGCCTCAGTTCAAGTTGCCTCTTCAGGCAGGAATCTGAGCCCCAAAACTGTCCCATTCTTCACCTTCCCCTTTGCTTGCTTGATATTTTCCCTCCATACCATCAACTAGTAAACATTTTTTTCTGTCTTGATTGTCTTTTTAATTATCCAGCAAACAACATAAGATCAGGACTGATGTCTGTTTTGTTCAGGCTTTTTTCCCCCAGTCTTTCTTAAAACTTGTTTTGTGGTTTGGGTAAAAATTCACAGAGCAAATTAGCTTTCCATCCAACACTTGGTAGACATGCTGTTTCGCAGCATGGATTGTAGTCCCTACAATGTAACAGAATTCTTCTGGCTTCCTCTCTCTGTGTTCCCTAGCTCTCTTTGTTTCCTTCCTGCCCCTTCCTACCTTCTGAGAAAATGTTGCCTATCATATGATGGGTTGGTCTGAGGAGTGTGTTCCTTCATGGTGTCATTCTTCAGCTTGTTGGTGTCGTTAAGTGCCGTGGAGTCGATTCCAACCCATGGCAACCCTGTATAGGATTTCCAAGGAGCAGCTGGTGAGATTGAACCACCAGTTCAAATGGCTTTGCAGTCTGATGCATTAACCCACAGTGCCACACCAGGACTCCTATTCTTCGGTTTAGAGGCCTGTCTACTGTTTGTCTGAAAAGTTTCTTGTGTCTTATGTCCTCAGCATCTAGCACAGATGTACGGTGAACCTAGCACCTTGTAGATAGTCCATACATTTAAAAATGATTTTTGTTGTTGAGACTATCCAGCAGGACATACACCAAATAAACAATTTCTACATGGACAATTCGATGACATTGGTGACATTCTTGGGTTCCTCCCTGATTGACAGAAACTCACTGACCCCAGAAGGTTCTATCTAATCTTTCTAGTTTCGGTTGTCAATTTCACCCCATGGAGCTAGTTCTTCAAAAGAACGCAATGCTTAAGGTAGAAGATATTGAAGTTGTCAGTTACCTTTGAGTTGGTGGGGACTCATAGCAACCATATGTAAACAGAGCAAAACACTGCCGGATCCTGTACCATCCTCAAAATTGTTCTGTTTGAGTCCATTGTTGGAACCACTGTGTTAATCCGTCTCTTTGAGGGTCTCTTTTTCTTTGACCCTCTACTTTACCAATCATGATGTCCTTCTTCAGGGACTGGTTCCTCCTGATAACATGTTCAAAGTATGAGAGACGAAATCTAGCTATATTGGCTTCCAAGGAACATTCTGACTGTACTTCTTCCAACATAGAATTGTTCATTCTACCTGCAGTCCATAGGAGTCCTAGTGTGTGGCACTGTGGGATAAAGCACTGGACTGAAAGGTTGGTTTGAACCACAAGGTTGGCAGTTCAAACCCACCAGCTGCTCCTTGGAAACTGCATACAGGGTCGCTATGAGTTGGAATCGACTTGACAGCACTTATCAACAGCAACACTAGGATATGGAGTATTCTCCACCAACACCACAATTCAAATGCATTAATAATTCTTTGGTCGTCCTTATTCATTGTCCAGCTTTCTATGCATATGAGACTGTTGAAAGTATCGTGGGTTGGGCCAGGGACACCTTAATCCTCAAACTGTCATTGTTGCTTTTTTTAAAAAAAAATGTTTTATTGTGAATTATGTGATGGTTTACATGGGAGAACATTAGCTTTACATTCATCCTATTGTATATTGTTTTATTACCATGGTTACAATCCCCTCCATGCATCATCAATCAACCAAAGGGTATACCCTGCAAGCCTGCCCCCTGCTTGTCAGCACACAGCCTCTCTCCCTCTCTGGGTCTAAAGTCCCCAGCTGCTCCATCTCTCCACGTCATTGTCTCTGCCTCCATCTCTGGTGTCACTGCTTCTCTGGGTAGGGTTCCACACTTCGCTCTTCTCCCTTGATGGTCCCAGGGATCTCCGCTCCTGGACTGCAAAGTCAATCACTCTTCTCCATTTGCTACAAAATATCTACCTTTACATTTCCAACCCTCACAATCAGTCCTGATAACAATTATTCACTATTGTATCACAAGAGACCTATCGGCATTTCCTTTTATCAGCCCCGCCCAGACAGATTGGATACTACTCAGTGGCGATTCTATCTTCCTCCACGCCCTCTGGGTCTAGGTTCCCTCTTAAAAGCTTGTAAGCATTTGTAGCCCCCCATTTTGGGTAGCCAATGTCCAAGTTGCCCATCCCTGTCTACTCTGTGTATGGCAGGGATGGGAATGATCCTCACTGTAAAGATTTGTTTCCTCTTTTGAGCTACTGCATCCATAGGTGTAAGTCAAGTTCATCAGATTGTATCAGATTACACTTTTTTTCCTCTTCTCTCTTCTCCTAGTTGAGCTCCAATCATCCAGTCATTGAAGCCAGGTCAAGTGGGTATTATCTGCAAGTGTGAGTGTTCTTGTTCGTATGCCCTCTCTTCTTATCAGCTGGACGCTTCACTCTCCACTCTAGTCCTCTGTGGCTATGTCACTGACTCTGGGCCCAAGAGTCCCCAGGTCTTGCCACACTGCTGGTCAACCAGGTCTCCCCCCAGGTTCACAGGAATCTATTGAACATTGTAGGGCTTAGCTCGTAGCTTCATTGTTGTTTTTCCCTCACTTCCCCTTATCGGTGTCGAGTGTGGTCACCAATCAGAGCCTGTATTCCCATTGAGTTTTAGTCTTGGAAGGGGGTTTGCCCTGAGGGGACCTGACCACTTGCCTTAATGTCTCCTGGGAGAGCAACTTGCTTGTTCTTGTAGTAATCAGTCGGTCTGCCTATATTGTTTTGTATTTTTCCAGTCAGTCTTTCTTTCAAGAAGTATCTTCTGTTCTTCTAGCCGCTCCAGGCTGATCTGCTTGTCCTTTCAAGAGGAAATTTCGCACCTCAGAAGATTCTGGATGCTGTTCAGGATTCCACCTTATAGTCTTATGTATTGCAAAGGCGCACTAGGAAGCCTCCTTCACTGGGCACATTGTAGC